CCTTATTATAATTATAGTATAACGGGGCCTAAAACCCTATTCTAATGATCAAGGCCCCTACATTCTGCGAAAGCTGCACACGAGCTGACGGAGTTTTTTTGTATCAGGGACAGGTTCGACTCGGAGGTACTGTACAGTTCAAGTCTACATTTAGGCGTTGGAGGATTTAGGGCTTAGGCTTCAGGGTTTAGGATTTAGGGTTTAGGGTTTAGGGTGTGGAGTTTAGGGTTTAGGATTTTCTGGTTCCACCCTAAATCCTAAACCCTACACCCTCAACCGAGCTTGAAGCACCCAGGGACCTTGGAAGTTCAGTGGGTTGTATTTGGGCTGAGTGATGCAGCTTTAGTATTGGAACCTGCTCAGAACGTCCAGATGGATGTCCACAAAAGTCTATGCTTGCCAGTTGTAGACATTCGGACATCGGCAAGCACTTGCTACATGTTACAATGGGAAGCCAAATTCCAGCTGTAGTTGTCGTGCATGTTTTGCGCGAACCATAGTCCTTAACACCAGCGAAAACTCCACCACGACGACTCGGAGCAAAATAACAATCACGGTGCTGGCGAGTTGCCCCGGCCCTCCCCCCTGAAGCCTCAAACTTCCTGCCCCAGCTTCCTTGAGAAGCTGAGGTCGACCGTCACCGGGGCATCATCGCCCGACCGCACATGCACGAGCTGCCTTGCTGCAGTTCAGGCCGATGAAGCCTTCGGACCATATTTGGGAGTTTCCGAAAATTAAGGGTACCTTATTTTGGAGTCCGTATAATAAGTATCCCATTATTAGGGTACTACATTAGGGTCCCCTATTTTAGGAAACCCCCCATATTCTTGGTTTGAAGCCCGGGAGCAGACATTTGTACCAGAGAGCCGATTCCACCATCAGTGATGCAACCAGCACCATAGTCATCACCATCGCCACCTTCACCATCTTCTTCATCATCAACAGCAACATGGGGGTTTCCGAAAATAGGGGACCCTAATATGGTACCCTAAATAGTAGGATCCTTATCATAAGGACCCAAAATAAGGTACCCCTTATTTCGGAAACTCCCACATCATCAGCAATCACGACATCGTCAGCACCATCACTGTCGTGCTCATGAATGTGCTCATATCAGTCCACGCTGATGGTCATCACCAGTACCACCAGCCTCATCACGATCCCTCCCAGCCGCATCTACGACCTTCAGAACCCTCAACCCAAAACCCCTAAACCCTAAACCCTAAACGTGGCCTTGGGGACCTCAGCCGCGGCATGACAGGGCTATGAGTGTATCCGATATGAGATTTTAGCGAGCCGATCCTTGACCTCGATCCCAGAACCCTGATCTTTATGATATTACTAAAGTTCATATATATATATATATATATATATATATATGGTCGCCCCCCCGTTGACAGACCATGCCCTTTCAA